AGATTGCGTGGCATAGTTATATCAGATTTTGTCCTGGGCTCCTCAGATTAGTGATGGGAACATTGGCTGTCAGGCAGCGCTATCACCGATCCCCAGCAGCGCTCGCACTTCCCTGATAATCGCTCCCAGAGGACCCCGGTGTAGGAAGGTAACGCCGATATCCAGGTAGATGGATGTCACCGACCCACGCAGGAGGTGAGGGTGGGGGGGAAGGAGCGCCAACAGCGCTGAGTCTATTTATAGCTCCCTCCATCTCTCGCCAATCCACTTTCCTCCTATTTATAGTAACAGTAAGTGGGTCCCCGCTGACAAGTCATCTTGGCTGATCTTACTCCCTTCTCATTGCTCATTCACAACCTCCTCGCAACCAGCCTCCCAACTCCATTCTTAAACGTTAAAGAGGGGCCCGGGGGGATTTCGTTGTTTGTCATTGATTTCCTTTAACGCAGCACAAAAATAGAAATGGATCAATCCTCCCCCTTTGACAGCCCAGCCGGACGAATCTTTAGATGGCTTTTCATTTAACTTCGACCTTTTTTTTTTTCAGTTGGGATTTCCATAAACATAATCGATGGTTTCGCTAAATTGCTTTTGAAGGTGCGGAGGGCGCGTTCTGACGCTCTGTGTAAGAAGTGATGGAGCGTCTGTTTGAATCGCGGGGTTATTTATTAATGGAGCCCTGTGTGTGTGTGCGTGGGGGGGGGAGGTGTGTGTGGGGGGGGGGCTTATGAATTATTACACCTTTATTGAGTTGCCTGGTTTCAGATATTAAAGGCATAAGGCTCAAACAGCTGGAAAAGTGTCTTTATCTTCGCCATGTAATTGTCATTTTCATTTTATTGGCTTTAGCTGAAAAAAACTGTCACTTTTTTTTAAAAAACTAAGCATCCATATCCTAGTTTGTTAGCTTTATATATCAAATGAAAATGTTGAGAAAATGTAATAAATGTAACAACAATCATAAAAAAAGTTCATTTATTAAAGTGTTACTAAACCTAGGACCCTGCATTCACTATATCTGTTCTCCCCGGACCCCGCATTCACTATATCCGGTCTCCCGGACCCCGCATTCACTATATCCGCTCTCCCCGGACCCTGCATTCACTATATCCGCTCTCCCCGGACCCTGCATTCACTATATCTGGTCTCCCAGGACCCTGCACTTACTATATCCACTCTCCCCGGACCCTGCATTCACTATATCTGGTCTCCCAGGACCCTGCATTCACTATATCCGCTCTCCTCGGACCCTGCATTCACTATATCCGCTCTCCCCGGACCCTGCATTCATTATATCCGGTGTTCCAGGACCCTGCATTCACTATACCTAGTCTCCCCGGAGACTGCATTCACTATATCCGGTCTCCCCGGACACTGCATTCACTATATCTGGTCTCCCCGGACCCCGCATTCACTATATCCAGTCTCCCCGGACCCTGCATTCACTATATCTGATCTCCCCGGACCCTGCATTCACTATATCTGGTCTCCCCGGACCCCGCATTCATTATGTCTGGTCTCCCCGGACCCTGCATTCACTATATCTGGTCTCCCAGGACCCTGCATTCACTATATCCGTCTCCCCGGACCCTGCATTCATTATATCTGATCTCCCCGGACCCTGCATTCACTATATCTGGTCTCCCCGGACCCTGCATTCACTATATCTGATCTCCCCGGACCCTGCATTCACTATATCTGGTCTCCCCGGACCCTGCATTCACTATATCTGGTCTCCCTGGACCCTGCATTCACTATATCTGGTCTCCCCGGACCCTGCATTCACTATATCTGGTCTCCCAGGACCTGCATTCACTACATCCGGTCTCCATGGACCCTGCATTCACTATATCCGCTCTCCCCCGGACCCTGCATTCACTATATCCGCTCTCCCCGGTCCCTGCATTCACTATATCTGGTCTCCCCGGACCCTGCATTCATTATATCTGGTCTCCCCAGACCCTGCATTCACTATATCTGGTCTCCCCAGACCCTGCAGTCACTATATCTGCTCTCCCCGGACCCTGCATTCACTATATCTGGTCTCCCCGAACCCTGCATTCACTATATCAGCTCTCCCCGGACCCTGCATTCACTATATCTAGTCTGTTTGGACCCCGCATTCACTATATCTGGTCTCCCCAGACCCTGCATTCACTATATCTGGTCGACCTGGGGCGGGGTTTTAGGGTCATGTGACCACCGTGATTCAGCGACACGGTGATCACATGATCAGAAAAGGACCCAATCGAAAGTGGAGCTCGGGACCTTTCCGTGAGTACTGGACATGTGTGCTGGGATCACACAGGGCGTGCGCTCTCAGCGCATGTTTTTCTTAATTGCACGCAAATGTGCGGCTGCTTGGCTTCAAGGCCCAGACACCGAGAGGCCACACATTTGCGTGCAGCCGGCGCCAAGAGGTTAAATAGAAAGTCATATCCATGTTTTCCACTGCCGATTACTGGGCAACAGCAGAATGACGCATTTTCAAATGCAAGGTGCGTTCTTGTGCAGCTTTGCTCTGCGTTGAGTCTAAGCATTAAGTTCAAGACAGAACCCTGCAGCAGGACGCGTAATGCGTGCGCAAGGTAGCCTGCATAACTGCTGCTTTAGTACGTGAACGAGCCCAAAAAGTGATTTCTTGTTCCCTAATGTCCTCGAACACTTTGATCCAGCTTCCAGCGCAGATCAATTTAAAGGGCCGGAACATTTACACAAGACCCTACGTCTCCGCTGGGAGCGAGCCTTGTTAGGGAATAAAACCGCCGGGCCGAATTTTCCGAGCATTGGGCTTCACGCCGAGATAGTGTTGAAAATGATACGGAGAATCCATTATTGCGGTTAGGCCCGCGTTATATGTCACATTTTTAAATCAATTCCTATTGATTTTTCTGCATAAACAACTATGGCTTGTGTAACAGAGCTTTCCGAATCACGTGCGGCGGGCAGGCCAGGAAAACGCACATCCATTAACAACGCGTTCTTAGCAGCCAATCAGATCCTTGATGTTATCTCATGTCAGGTGCCTCCACCAGAAATGGAAGCCGAATCGGAGAGATTTGCAGCTTTCACTTCCTGCTTTCCAGAAGGTGTACGCTCACGATGACGCCACAGAAAATGGATATTTACGCAGAACTTCAGCCAAAAGTAAAAAGCTTGTCAAAAATGTAATAACAAAACCATCTTTTGCTGCAATGCTCAGATTTAATCTAGAGATTTCCTCTGCAGTATTTTTTTTTTGCCACTAATATTTTTTCTTTTTTGCTACCATCATTCAACCCACTTCCTCTGAGCCCAAGTCATCCCGGACGAGCCCCCAACCTGTTCTTCAATGTTCAGCTTCAAGCTGGAGTTTTTCTGTGCAGTATTTTTTTCTGCCACTAGATGCCCTCAGTCTGATTGCTAGCACCATTCAATGCACTTTCTCTGTGCTCTGGTCATCCCGGACGAGCCCCCAACCTGTTGTCAGGTCATCCTGGATGAGCCCCCAAACCTGTTGTTCAATATTCAGCTTCAAACTGGAGTTTTCCTGTGCAGTATTTTTTTCTGCTACTAGATGTCCTTAGTCTGATTGCTAGCATAAATCAACCCACTTCCTCTGAGCCCAAGTCATCCCGGACATGCCCCCAACCTGTTCTTTCATATTCAGTGTCAAGCTGGAGTTTTCCTGTGCAGTATTTTTTTCTGCTACTAGATGTCCTTAGTCTGATTGCTAGCATCATTCAACCCACTTCCTCTGAGCCCAAGTCATCCCGGACATGCCCCTAAGCTGTTTTTCAATATTCAGCTTCAAGCTGGAGTTTTCCTGTGCAGTATTTTTTTTTCTGCTACTAGATGTCCTTAGTCTGATTTTCTAGCATCATTCAACCCACTTCCTCTGAGCCCAGGTCAACCCGGACGTACCCCCAACCTGTTCTTCAATATTCAGCTTCAAGCTGGAGTTTTCCTGTGCAGTATTTTTTCTGCCACTAGATGACATCAGTCTGATTGCTAGCATCATTGAACTCACTTCCTCTGAGCCCAAGACATCCCGGACGAGCCCCCAACCTGTTCTTCAATACTCATCTTCAAACTGGAGTTTTCCTGTGCGGTATTTTGTTCTGCCACTAGATGACATCAGTCTGATTGCTAGCATCATTGAACACACTTCCTCTGAGCCCAAGACATCCCGGACGAGCCCCCAACCTGTTCTTCAATACTCATCTTCAAACTGGAGTTTTCCTGTGCGGTATTTTGTTCTGCCACTAGATGTCCTCAGTCTGACTGCTAGCATCATTCAACCCACTTCCTCTGAGCTCAGGCCATCCAAGACATTCCCCCAGCCTTTGCTGCAATGCACAACTTCAATCTAGTGATTTCCCCTGCAGTAATTTTGTTCTTCCACTAGATGTCCCATGTCTGGTTGCCAGCATCCTTCATCCCACTTCCTCTGAGCTGGGTCATCCCAGATGTGCTCCTAGTCTGTGTTTCACTGTTCCATTTCAATCTAGAGATTTACCAGCAGTATTTTTTCTGCCACTAGATGTCCTCAGTTTGATGGCCAGCGACATTCAACCCACTTCCTCTGAGCTCAGGTCATCCTAGCATGACTGGACAGTGAAAGGAGAAGCAGCACAGTGATGAGCTCATTTTTCTGTTAGTCTGCTCTTTCCTCCTATCAGCATGCTTCTTGTCAGCAAAATCATCTTCTCCTTGTGCTTCCTATTCCTCTCACACTCCAGCCCTGCTGTACAGGAGGTGCAAGAGGCTGATACCAGGTCATTTATTGATGTATTAATGATTACAGGGCTGCAGTAATTTGCAGCATCTTTTATATGGATCTTCCTAGAGTTTTATTTAAATCTAGAACTTTTTAAATGCTGCATTTTTATTGACTTTTAGCAGTTGAAACCCCTTCTCCCTATAACCATGTTTGCTTGGCAAAGAGCAGAAAGGGTCCATTTTTTGCTCAATGACACCATCCCAACTCTGGCCTCTAACCTTCTCCTCCTCTCTTGCAGCAAGCTACCCGGATGGGCCAGGGCGGTGGTTCCCAGGATGTTTTATATCTGTGAGAAGGCCTGGAATTATTACCCCTACACCGTGACAGGTAAGACTCCTTGGCGTCTGCTGTATTTTGGGGCTTCTAGAGAACATGTGTTAACCAATGACACGGGATGTTTAGAGGCACCCATTAAGAAAATCGAAACAACAATGATTGGGTTGTTGACACTCACAGGTCAGCAAATACCTTTTAAAGGGAATGTTTTATTCTGGCTAGCCAGCAGATGGTGCTGCAGTCTCCTTTTTATATATTGAGCTATTGCAACTTTTAGCTGTGCTGAAAGAAGTTCATTGGTTACGGAAATTCATCAGACAACCTCATAGTGAGCACAGCAGGTGTACAGACCCAGGAACATAGTGCAGGGACGGTGAGAACCGTTCATACTGAGCCCAGCCGCTATACAGACCCAAGAACACAGCACAGGGATGGTGGTAAACCCTCATACTGAGCACAGCAGGTATACAGACCCGGAACTCAACAAATGGATGGTGGGAACCCCTTATAATGGGCACAGCAGGTGTGCAGACCCAGGTACTTAGCACAGGGATGGTAGGAACCCCTCGTACTGAGCACAGCAGGTGTACAGACCCGTGATCGCAGGACATGGATGGTGGGAACCCTTCATAATGGGCACAGCAGGTGGGTAGACCCAGGAACTCAGCACAGGGATGGTGGGACCCCCTCATAATGGGCACAGCAGGTGTACAGACCAGGGAACTCAGCACAATGACGGTGGGAACCCCTCATAATGGGCACAGCAGGTGTGCAGACCCAGGATCGCAGCACATGTATGGTGGGAACCCCTCATAATGGGCACAGCAGGTGGGTAGATCCAGGAACTCAGCACATGGATGGTGGGAACCCCTCATACTGAGCACAACAGGTGTACAGACCCATGATCGCAGCACATGGATGATGGGAACCCCTCATAAGGGGCACAGCAGGTGGGTAGACCCAGGAACTCAGCACAGGGATGGTGGGAACCCCTCATAATGAACACATGTGCACAGGCCTGGGAACTCAGCACAAGGATGGTGGGAACCCCTCATAATGTACAGAAAATAGGACAGCGTACTTTTCTGTGTAAGTATGAACTGTCACAACGACTGTTATTTGTACTTTTATTAATACAGATATAACCACTAACAACACAACTTGTCTCTGTTTTGTTTTTTCTCCCTTGCCCTTACTTCTGCTTGAACTCTCCATCCCTCCATGTTTAATACTACTGTACTGGCCATCCTGCTACACACCGATCTCTCTCCGTCCACCCTCCTCCTCTTCACATGGTCCACCCTCCTCCTCTTCACATGGTCCACCCTCCTCCTCTTCACATGGTCCACCCTCCTCCTCTTCACATGGTCCACCCTCCTCCTCTTCACATGGTCCATCTGACTCCTCAGAATACACAGTAAGTTTCCATTCTGCTCAGAATTCCAGAATTAGAATAGACAATATAACCATCAGAGAGACCTTTCCAATGAAAACGTCATCATAGGATTGTGCTGCATTAAATATAGATCCTACAGTATATATACACCTGGGGGCAGCAATTTATTTTCTATTAATATATGTTATTATATTTTTATTTTCCATAGCTTTTAATTATATATATACTGTATATACCTGGGGCAGCCATATTTGTCTATCACATATGCAATGTCTGCTTCCCCATTCCTTTTGTTCACTTTCAGGGGCGAACTGACCATTTGGAAACTCGGGCACTGCCCGAGGGACCGGGGTCAGTAGGGGGCCCATGAGATGCCCCTGGTACCGTTTTCATAGGCTTTTTTGAGCTTAGGCAAGGACACAGGGGCCCCATGATCCCCTATTGCCCGGAGGCCAGAGGCCCCATGAGTTGTCAGTCCGCCCCTGTTCACTTTTCATGTCTTCATGAATAAATTCCTGACTTGTCACCGTATACCGCAACAATATACATCATATAAATCATTAAAAAAACATCCTTGAGCTCCAGTCCAGTGACTTTGCCTAGGCTGAGATGATCAGTTTGCAGCGGGCAGGAGGAAGCATTTCCTCAGTCTCCTCTTCTCCTGCAGTCACTCAGATGGCAACATTGTAACTTTGTAGCTGTAACTGTATTGTGTAATTGTAGAAAAGAACATCAGGAGGCCTATTTCTATCCAAAAAAATGTACAAATGTGACAAACATTCGCGCAGCTGCAGAAAAATATTTTGTCCAATATGATTATTTTCTATGCTCCATCTGCTGGTCATAATACGGTATTTTCCTGATTGAGGTATTTCAAGGAAATAGTATATTATGGCCTGTAGATGGGACTTCCAAATATAGGAAATGATCATATTAGATAAAACACTGCAAGTTTTCATTAGAACTTTGCACATGTTTATCATTGGATGCACGTGTCCTGTGTTACACCATGGCTTCTAACAAAAATATTTTTTTCCACAATGCAGTGCTCCTTCCTCCCAAAATTCTCCATCCATATTGAGACAAGATATTCTGATGACTGCGGTGACGATGACAGTGTAAGTCGGGTTCCTTTTAGATGCTTGGGTAAAGTCCACATTCACTCACTTTTTTGACAGATATAGAAGACACAAATGAATACAGCTCTGTGCTCATTAACACCTCATTACAATTTTTTTCAAATGCAAGCAATGTAAGTATCTGAATTAGTCCTGGTATCGGCCTCATGCAGATCCTGTACAACAGTGCTGGAGTGTGAGAGGAAGAAGCAGTACAAGCAAGGGTGTATTTACCACAAGGCAAACAAGGCATTTGCCTAGGGCGGCATTTTTCAGGGGGGCAGCACTGCCCCTCAGAAGAAGAAGGGACACACGCGGCATGGGGACCTGGTGGGTTCTGAGAAAGGTTGCAGGTTTCATGATAGTGTATGCACATTCCAGGGGATGTCCTGAGCTGTGAAGGTGAGTGTCTTTCTCTCTCTCGCCATGGGGGATGGTGACTGGTGTATGGGGGGCAGTGGTAGTGGAAGGCTCTCTCGGGTGGGAGTCAGGAGTGTTGTTGGTCAATGTCAGGCTCTCTCTGCGGGGTGGAGCCGATTTTTGTGTTGCCCAGGGCAGCACAAAACCTAAATACACCACTGAGTACAAGGAGCCAATCGGGCCATGTGTTGACAAAAAAGCATGCTGATAGAAAGAGAGCAGAGTGGCAGTGAATTCTGGGTATGAAAACGGTGAATAACAATCTGAAATATAAAAATGGCATCTGTTAAAGGTTAATTCCACCTCTCATACCATGTTCCATTTAATTCCCAACCATATTTAGGGCATAACATGAAACATGGTGTAATTCCTTAGCCCCCCCCCCCCTCTTCAAACTACCCTGCTCTCCAATTTACCTGAATTGCAGGCTTCTACAGCCAGTAGTATTCTGTATATTTTTTTTTTAAATTCACACAGCTGTGTGTGACTCTGTGAATGGGGAGACTACAAGTCCCATCTGCCAGTGCGGCAGAGGAACTCATAGTTCTTAATGTAATACAAATGTGGTTAGGTCACTGCATTTGTGGTCTATGGATTACTTCTCCAGCCCCATAACCGAAGGTCTCTACTTGTACCTGTACTGTTGAGAGGCTGGAGGAATAGTCTGTGCATTACCCTGATCATAACTGGAATGCTCTGCAGGCTTCAGTGCAAAAAATCAGTGAATGCATTCCTTTCCTTCTTCCTTTCATTTCCTTCTTCCTTTCCCTCTTCCAATTCCTTTCGTTTCCTTTCCTTCTTCCTTTCTTTTCCTTCTTCCTTTCCCTCTTCCAATTCCTTTCCTTTTCTTCTTCCTTTCCTTTCCTTTCCTTTCCATTCCTTTTTCCTTTTCTTCTTCCTTTCCTTCTTCCTTTCCTTTCCTTTCTCTTTCCTCTCCTCTTCTCTCCTTTTCTTTCTCTTTCCTCTCCTCTCCTCTTCCTTCCTCTCCTTTCCTTTCCTTCCTTTCCTTTCCTTCTTCCTTTCATTTCCTTTCCTTTGTTTTCTTCCTTTTTTATTCCCCATGTGAAGACTTGCAGGTGAAACATTTGTATTTCTGTCCATCCAGGCCTGAGATTTACAGGGAAGGAGACCTGATATATCTCTAGTGCAGTTAATATTTACAGGCCTTGTTTTCAGACTAATGAGCTCATCTCCCTGTCACTCTGCTCTCTCCACCTATCAGCATATCTCTTGTAAGCACATGAACACAGCAGCATAGCTAATTGGCTCATTATACTGCTTCTTCCTCTCCCAGTCATAGCTCTGCTGTATAGGAGCTGCAAAAGGCTGAGTCACAATCATGAACTTACACTGCCTTCATTTAATAAAAAAAAGTAATAATGTATTATTAATAAATGCAGAGCTGCATCAATGTTTCTTTTCTGTATCTGTCTGGAGTTCAGTTTATTATAATCCTTTGAGAGTACTTTGTTGTGCCTGAAATAGTTAGAGGACAACTCCTGAAGATTAGAGTTGGGGGGGGGGGGGGGTTTGACAGTGGGGGGGGGGGGGGGGTTAATCAAAACAGGAAATTAATCAAATTCTGGCTGGGATCCCACTTTAATTAACAAGGATTCTGTTTGGATTGGTGCTCATTTTGGTGATTTCCCCCCTTCTAAAATCCATCAAATCACTATTTAGAAGATTCTGAAAAAAAAATAATTAGGAGACTGACTCCGGTGTTCTCTTACAGATATTTAATTCAGACTCGGCAGAGGACGCTCATGAAGTGACACACCTAGACATCACGTATGACGAGATCCCGGAGAGATATTATAAGAGTACCGAGGTGGGTGGAAGCAAAACAAGAGACTGTTAGGGCCCATTGACATCAGTCTGGTCCGCTGCGGTGTGTTGAACACACGTGCATTAACACAGGTTATGTTAGAGCAGCCCATGCTTTGAATGGAAAATGGTGCTATAGTGAAGCAGGTCATCGTGCAATGGTGTTATAGTATGGCAGATTAAAGTGCAATGGTGTTATAGTAAAGCAGATTAAAGTGCAATGGTGTTATAGTAAGGTAGATTAAAGTGCAATGGCGTTATAGTATGGCAGATTAAAGTGCAATGGTGTTATAGTAAGGTAGATTAAAATGCAATGGTGTTATAGTAAAGCAGATTAAAGTGCAATGTTGTTATAGTAAGGTAGATTAAAGTGCAATGGTGTTATAGTAAAGCAGATTAAAGTGCAATGGTGTTATAGTTAAGCAGATCAAAGTGCAATGATGGTATAATAGGACAGGTCAAAGAGCAATGATGTTATAGTAAGGCAGATTAAAGTGCAATGATGTTATAGTAAGGAAGATTAAAGTGCAATGGTGTTATAGTAAAGCAGATTAAAGTGCAATGGTGTTATAGTAAGGTAGATTAAAGTGCAATGGTGTTATAGTTAAGCAGATCAAAGTGCAATGATGGCATAATAAGACAGGTCAAAGTGCAATGATGTTATAGTAAAGCAGTTTAAAGTGCAATGATGTTATAGTAAAGCAGATTAAAGTGTAATGGTGTTATAGTAAAGTAGACTAAAGTGCAATGGTGTTATAGTAAGGCAGATGAAAGTGAAATGGTGTTATAGTTAAGCAGATCAAAGTACATTGATGGTATAATAAGAGAGATCAAAGTGCAATGATGTTATAGTAAGGCAGATTAAAGTGCAATGGAGTTACATTAAAGCAGGTCAAAGTGCAACGGTGTTATAGTAAGGCAGGTCAAAGTGCAACAGTGTTATAGTAAGGCAGGTCAAAGTGCAATTGTGTTATAGTATGGCAGATATAATGCAATGATGTTATAACAAAGCAGGTGAGACTGCAATGGTTTTATAGTAAGGCAGGTCAAAGTGCAATGACAGATCAAAGTGCAATGATGTTATAGTATGGCAGGTCAAAGTGAAATGATATTATAGTATGGCAGGTCAAATTGCAATGGTGTTATAGTATGGCAGGTCAACGTGCAATGGTGTTATAGTATGGCAGGTCAAAGTGCAATAGTTTTATAGTATGGCAGGTCAAAGTGCAATGGTTTTATAGTATGGCAGGTCAAAGTGCAATGGTTTTATAGTATGGCAGGTCAAAGTGCAATGGTGTTATAGTAAGGCAGGTCAAAGTGAAATGATGTTATAGTATGGCAGGTCAAAGTGCAATGGTGTTATAGTAAGGCAGGTCAAAGTGCAATGGTGTATAGTAAGGCAGGTCAAAGTGCAATGGTTTTATAGTATGGCAGGTCAAAGTGCAATGGTGTATAGTAAGGCAGGTCAAAGTGCAATGGTGTTATAGTAAGGCAGGTCAAAGTGCAGTGGTGATGTGCAGAGGGCAGTAACCATGATAGTCAGTTATATTTCACTACATTGTAGTCAGATAAGTAAAATGAAATGTCTGGTTTTGTAGTGGCTTGTTCTCATGTCGCCCTTTAGCTTATTAAACCATCCAGAAAACTATAATACAAGAATTCTGGGAAAAAGGCTTTATTCTGAGAAGAGTTCATTACTAGACCCGGCGGCGCGCTCCTTCCCGCTATCAGCACTCCATCTTTTTCTAATTTAATTCTAATTCATATTCAGGAAATGTACGAAGAACAAGGCCTGTAATGTCAGGCTGACACAAAGGGACGGCTTCATTCTTCCCCTCTCTATTGCAGGATCTCAGGCATTTTGTCTCTGGCAAGACGGGCCGCGGGCCTCTTCAGGAAGGCTGGAGGTGCCAGACAAAACCCATTATGTGCTCCTACAAATTAGTTAATGTCAAGTTTGAGGTGTGGGGCCTTCAGACACGAGTCGAGCATTTTGTGCACAAGGTGGGTGAAGGCTTTGTTCCCATCATGTAGTCCTTGTTGTGTGACATGTGACCTTGCAAAACTCCTTTATGTGGGTCATTAGAATGTACCCGAAACCAAAAATGAGACAATATAACATACAGATCAGCCTTTCAAGAGTCCTTGAAATAATTTTCAGGTCTCAAGGAACCCTTGCAAAAAACAACTCATTGGTGGGCAGTAGAAAAATACTTTTATTGGTGACTAGTGGGAAGAATGTCCCCTTTACAGTCGTGGTCAAGACTACAACCCTTACAGATAGCTAAAAAGATCTTTACGTGAAGCCAAGTGCCAAGTGGCGCTAATCCTGGAACTATAAAGGAACTACCAAATGGGAGACCAATCAGCCACTGCTGTAGGAACCGTTGTAATCTCTGGAGGAACCCAAGTTAGGAATGGCTGATAAAGATTATGGTGAGAAGGGACTTAAGCAACCAAAAAGTCCTCTTGTTTTTGGGAGATAAGAAACATATGTATACATTCTGCTCTAAAAAAAAATTTTCTGTGCTACACACTGACTTGGTTAGAGGACTTTTCGATTGCCTTAGCCCAGTCATTCTCAACCAGGGTGTTGTGGAACCCTAGGGTTCCTCCAGGGTTGGCTAGGGGTTCCTTGAGCTGTGGCTATTTGACCTTCTATCAAATGGTGCAGGCATGATTCCAAATCCAGCGCCACTTGGCATGACTGCAAGGATATCATTCTAGCCACCCCTGTAAGGGGGGCATTCTTCCCACCACCAATGTAAGGGGCATTTTCCCAATGACCCCAATAAACTTACTAGGGGTTCCCTGAGATATGAAAATTATTTCAAGGCTTTCTCTGGGTTAAAAGGTTGAGAAAGGCTGCCTTAGTCTCTTCTCACATCAACATGTATGGTTGTACTCTCTTTTTGGGTCCCAAGCCCAACTCCACATAAGCCCTGGTTTCCATACACTGCACTGATGATGGCCAAATAATGTTGTGTCGTGTCCCCACTCAGAAGGTCCACTCTCTCTGTCTGTTCTGGTGACCATTTTCACTGAGATAGAAAGTGACAGAGAATGAAAAATGTTAGTGTTGTCACCAGAATAGATGGTAATAGAGAGGACTTTGACCAAAATCTAGTTGATTTCGAAGTTGATACTGGACAATATATTGACAGCTTCAATACAGTTGATTGAAAGATTGAATTGAAATGAACATGGTAAAAACCAGCAGCAATTTAACCTCTTGCTGACCGCACTATAGCCAAATGAAGGCTGCAGCTTCTGGGAGGGCATCTTTTGACAACCTCCCAGAACCCCGCCACCCCCCCTCCCATGCCCCCGTGTCCTTCGGACATAGCTGATCACAGATTGAGGTACAGGGGCAATCAAAGCGACCCTTTACCATGTGGTCAGCTGTGTCCAATCCCAGCTGATCACATTGTATACAGATTTGCCGGTCACAAACCACCAAAAGCTCTATTTGTGTGAAAAAAATTGTAAAAATGTATTATGGGTACAGTGTTGCATGACCGTGCAATTGTCATTAAAGTGTGATAGCTGAAAATTTGGATTGGGCAGGCAGGAAGGGGGTGAAAGTGTTCGGTATTGAAGTGGTTAATATAAAGTGATCCAATTTATTGATGGTATACAATCTTGGCTATTCCGATCCCATCTCCTCCCCGTTGGTCAAGACCACCATTTGACGTCTTGCACTGCTTTGTGATTTTGACAAAAAAATAGAATGAGAAGTTCAATCACATGATCAAATTGACACATGGATGGCCAGTTGTAGACGGACACACACTGCGTCTTGTGAAACTGTGATTCTGAAATCTCCTCTGTATTACTAGGTTATTCGGGACCTGCTGATCATCGGTCACCGGCAAGCCTTTGCATGGGTAGATGAATGGTATGGTAAGTATCTCAGTACAACTTTTCAATAAACCATGACATCTGTGTATGAGTGAGGACTTTTTTTTTTTTTTTTTTTACTTTTTTTTGTTCAAAAATCTACTAGTGTATGGACAGCTTAAGAGCTACTGGAAACACAGGAGCGCCAGATTGACTGTTGAGTGACCATGTCAAATTTAATTTGTTCATAAAACTTTGAAAAAATAAGCTAGGGTATCCAAAATCGAGGATCCAAAGGTTGGCATTGCCTTACCTTATTATTCCTAATGCTCGACGCAGGTAAACGTGTGTAAACACAGTACACACGATTAAAAGCGTCAAGCGTTCTATTGGCCAAAATGCTGCTAGCCTCTAGGGGAGTTAAAATAATTGTCAGTGTGCATGAGGCCTTAATGTTGCACTCCTTTTTTCTTTTTTCTTCTTTTGTGCCCCTTGGAGGTCTCTTCATGTCTGTAAGCTGCCAGCAAGAGCCCTTGCATTCTTCAATATAGATCACATCCTTTTCATGAGATCCATCCAGGGGTCTCAAAACTTTCAGAACAAAACAAAATACCAGTTTACTGCCCTTCAAACGTTAGTGGGGCTGGACTGTGGCCTGTGGGAGGAATAGTGTACCATCATTGGTATCAGTGGGAGGAATAGTGCCCCATCATTGGTGTCAGTGGGAGGAATAGTGCCCCCTGATATGTATCAGTGGGAGGAATAGTGCCCCATCATTGGTATTAGTGGGAGGAATAGTGCCCCATCATTGGTATCAGTGGAAGGAATAGTGCCCTATCATTGGTGTCAGTGGGAGGAATAGTGCCCTATCATTGGTATTAGTGGGAGGAATAGTGCCCCATCATTGGTATCAGTGGGAGGAATAGTGCCCCATCATTGGTATCAGTGGGAGGAATAGTGCCCCATCATTGGTATCAGTGGGAGGAATAGTGCCCCATCATTGGTATCAGTGGGAGGAATAGTGCCCCATCATTGGAGTCAGTGGGAGGAATAGTGCCCCATCATTGGTATCAGGGGGAGGAATAGTGCCCTATCATTGGTATCAGTGGGAGGAATAGTGCCCCATCATTGGTATCAGTGGGAGGGATAGTGCCCCATCATTGGAGTCAGTGGGAGGAATAGTGCCCCATCATTGGTATCAGTGGGAGGAATAGTGCCCCATCATTGGTATCAGTGGAAGAATAGTGTCCCATCATTGGTGTCAGTGGAAGGAATAATGCCCATCATTGGTGTCAGTGGGAGGAATAATGCCCCATCATTGGTATCAGTGGGAGGAATAGTGCTCCATCATTGGTATAAATGGGAGGAATAGTGCCCCATCATTGGTATCAGTGGGAGGAATAGTGCCCCATCATTGGTATCAGTAGGAGGAATAGTGCCCCATCATTGGTATCAGTGGGAGGAATAGTGCCCCATCATTGGTATCAGTGGGAGGAATAGTGCCCCATCATTGGTATCAGTGGGAGGAATAGTGCCCCATCATTGGTATCAGTAGGAGGAATAGTGCCCCATCATTGGTATCAGTGGGAGGAATAGTGCCCCAGCATTGGTATCAGTGGGAGGAATAGTGCCCCATCATTAGTATCAGTGGGAGGAATAGTGCCCCATCATTGGTATCAGTGGGAGGAATAGTGCCCCATCATTGGTATCAGTGGGAGGAATAGTGCTCCATCATTGGTATCAGTGGGAGGAATAGTGCTCCATCATTGGTATCAGCAGGAGGAATAATGCCCCATCATTGGTATCAGTGGGAGGAATAGTGTCCCATCATTGGTATCAGTGGGAGGAATAATGCCCCATCATTGGTATCAGTGGGAGGAATAATGCCCCATCATTGGTATCAGTGGGAGGAATAGTGACCCATCATTGATATCAGTGGGAGGAATAGTGTCCCATCACTGGTATCAGTAACAGGAATAATGCCCCATCATTGGTGTCAGTGGAAGGAATAATGCCCATCATTGGTGTCATTTGGAGAAATAGTGCCTCATTATTGGTGTCAGTGGGAGGAATAGTGCCCCCTGATATGTATCAGTGGGAGGAATAGTGCCCCATCATTGGTATTAGTGGGAGGAATAGTGCCCCATCATTGGTATCAGTGGAAGGAATAGTGCCCTATCATTGGTGTCAGTGGGAGGAATAGTGCCCTATCATTGGTATTAGTGGGAGGAATAGTGCCCCATCATTGGTATCAGTGGGAGGAATAGTGCCCCATCATTGGAGTCAGTGGGAGGAATAGTGCCCCATCATTGGTATCAGGGGGAGGAATAGTGCCCTATCATTGGTATTAGTGGGAGGAATAGTGCCCCATCATTGGTGTCAGTGGGAGGAATAGTGCCCCATCATTGGAGTCAGTGGGAGGAATAGTGCCCCATCATTGGTATCAGTGGGAGGAATAGTGCCCCATCATTGGTATCAGTGGAAGAATAGTGTCCCATCATTGGTGTCAGTGGAAGGAATAATGCCCATCATTGGTGTCAGTGGGAGGAATAGTTCCCCATCATTGGTATCAGTGGGAAGAATAGTACCCCATCATTGGTGTCAGTGGGAGGAATTATGCCCCATCATTGGTATCAGTGGGAGGAATAGTGCCCCATCATTGGTATCAATAGGAGGAATAGTGTCCCATCTATGGTATCAGTGGAAGAATAGTGCCCCATCATTGGTGTCAGTGGTAGGATAGTGCCTTGTATCAGTAGAAGAAATAGTGGCCCAAGGGCTGGATAAGGGCAAGAAAAGGGCCACATCCGGCCAACGGGCTGCAGTTTGGAGACCCCTGACATAGATGGAATGGATCTCACTAGATAATAAAGCCAAGATTCAAACATCTTTGGAGTTTACAAGAAGTCGACAATGGCACCTCCCATAGTTCTCTCTTCAGAGTTTCTTTTAAAGTTCTGTAACACCGTAACAGCCAATAAGATTCATCAGATCAGAGAAAAACAACAAACGTTGATTTCTGATTGGTCAAGATGAGTTATTGTACTTGCTTTTGAAATAAGAGGAAATAAAAGATGCACAAGGTAAATCAGAAACAGAAAAGAGGGCAGGAAAGGACTATGGAACTTTGACCTGGGGAGGGGGGTCAAATACTACCAAGTGGCATCTTCACAAAAGGTACAAATTTCTATGGACAAAAATATGTACCAAGCAAAGAGTGCCATGGTGCATTGGTGGGAATAGTGGAGGAGACAGGGTGTATGGTTCTCGCAGCTGAAAGGCTATATAAGCCTAGCTGCTCCACCAATGATAGACACTCTGGACCCCCCTGACCCCCCTACCTTTACCCATGCCTCTAAAAGGTGGACTTTCCCAGAGGACATGGTTTATTGGGGCACATTGTCCAGCATCAGCATCCTTTGTGGTCATCTCAAATCCTCAAGAAAATTGGTGCTGGAAGGCTTTCATCTATCAATCCCTGGGATGAACAGATGGCCAGTAGCTACTGTATCTAATGCTTAACATACTGTATGTTCCTGTCCTGCTCTGAATGATCTCTATAAGGTGAAGTATCCCTATTTAGGGCCACCAGCCCACCATATCTTATTAGTGCTTGTCTAGTTGGCTGGCAATGCCTACCTGCCAATGCCCAGTCCTCCCCTGCCAGAGAGAGGACTTTTTTTTGTAGAAGCAGATTATGAGCTCTGTCTTAGACACTTGCAACCCGTCTCCAGTACCCATGCAAAGCCACATCACGATATTTTTCCAGAGGAAGTAAAACTGAAGCCTGCGCCCTGGAGACCCATCTCTCCTTTTGTTTTACGTAGGATGTTTTATATTTAGCACAATTCTGACTTCCCACAGGTACCAGGAGAATGATCAGCCTGGTGAATCAATACCACAATGATACCTTGGAGGCAGAAAAAGAACATGCAGTAATGTGGAGTAACTTAATAACATAAGAGAAAACATGCAGCGGGCCAAATACAGGGATCATAAAAGAAAGAAAGAAAGCCATAGAAAAAACGTTGGGGCTATTTCTAGGAAACAATGCAGACTGTGCTCAGGGTGAAATGTACCGTGGTAAAGAACAGGACGTGTAGGGAGGACAAGGAAACAGAAGTATACCTAGCTGGGGCTCAGGCATGACGTTTGGAGGTATCAGAGGGTCTGGGGACAGTACATATTTTCTTCCATTTCAGCCTAATGTGGAAAAAAAGGGGGGGGGGGCAATTATCAGGGTTCAGCACAGGATAAAACTTGAATGGATTCCAGTGATTTCACAGTTGTACAATAAAATCAGTACCGAACCCTCCTCACAGAAGAACAACCTGAAAATAGCTGCAGAGCAGCAAAGGAGGTTCCTCCATGTCCGTCCAAGTTTTATTTTTACTTTATATTATTTTTTTATGTAGCTTTCGCATTTTGCATGTTTGTTGTCTCATATCTGTAGAATCTTCCTCTAGTGGATATCTACAGTATATGCCAATCAGTACAATCAGCAATCCTGCTAAATGACTGTTGTGAAAATCTGTTGATTCTAAAGCGGTTCCCATACGTGGTCCAGTCCTGGCCAAGTAAAGGGGTCTGTCCACCCAAATGTGATAAAAGTCTGTACACAAAAATCCATTACAGCCTTAACACTGGATTTCTGTATGATGATGCATGATTCTGTATGGGGAAACATCCTTTTGAAAACTACAGTAGGCGTTACTCAGAATCAGGAAACACTTGGCCTTCAGTTTTCCACAGAATGCAAGTTGGTGGAAACTTGGTGAAGCCTCAAACATCTTTCATGTCTTGGTTGCTTCAATAGTAAGATCCTCTGTTCCCCAGGGTTTGGATATTTCCATCTACCTATGTGTGTTCCCGCTCCTAAGTTGTGGTTAAAAGATACAAAGAGCCCCAGGAACCGAAAAGGATACAAGTCAAACTGAAGTTATATTGAAATTTACTCCATAGTTTGCATGTAATACCTATACAAACATAATCATGAATGACTCCCATGTTTTCACCCCTCAGGAATGACCATGGAGCAGGTTCGAGAGTATGAAAAGGAGACACAGGCCGCCACCAATGAGAAAATAGGACCAGTTGCACCGACCATTACCATAACTGCAGAAAGCCAGTGCCCTGCTATCCGTAGTGCCCCTGCCACCCCCATCACTGGTGAGCCTCCAGAATTTCTCACCCTGCCCAAAGAAAGACCACGCAAGACCTCTGCCCCAGATACACTTACTCTACCAGAACTCAGAGAACGAGCCAACGGACCTTCCAATCACCTCTCGCCAAACAATACTGACAGCTGAAACCAAAGGGGGGAGTCTTCTCTTCACTCCAAAAGGATGGGCCACTCATTCCCGACTCGTGGGAAGTCCCGAAAAAAGATCCTCGTGGACTCTGACATGAAGAAGTCAACCCTACGATGGAATAGACACTGACACAAAGGTGACCTATCTTGACTCAGGCAGAAGGAGAGTTGGCTTCTTCTCCTATGAGCAGGAAGGGGAACTTCCAAATTACTAAAGTGAAACCTTTGATCCGTCCGGCCATGTATTTGATGTAGCAGAGTCCGCAAACAAAGTATGAAGAAGATGTCTAGTGTCAGTTCAGTAAGAACTTGTAAAATTTAAAGCTATAGACCACCTAAAAGGGGGACTAAATTGTGTGGTCGCTTAATAGCCCTGTTCCTCGTCAATCAGTTTCTGGATTTTGGTTGAATGCTTGATTCCTGATTTATATACTGTTTTGTTTTTTTTGAATTTGTAAAAAAAAAAAGCAACATCAAGCAACTATTTAAATAGACAGTTAAAACATCTGTAGAAACCTTTTTTAACTTGTAAAATAATGTATTTATTCTTGCAATCCCCCATACCTTGCTGTGCTAGATGCTTACCTAGCACTACAACAGTGCCCACCCTTTTCAGCGCCAGAAAATATGTCAAGTCTGTGAAAGTGGGAATGACCACTGAATGCTCTCATTGGATGGGGGGATGGAAGGTGGATAGGGTTTGACTCCAAGGGGAGGAGTTAGAGCAGAATGCATGTAAATTGAACTATTAGGCAGTGGCCCATTGATTAATATATAGACAGATTTCATGTATTTTTGCTGGTAATTGGTAGTGCACTGAAATGACTGAAATACATTTTCTGGGAAATGTAAGAAAATGTATTTATTTGCCTGGAGTCATTCTTTGAAGTGTATTTGTCAGCCATTTTTTCAGATTTTAAAAGTAGTCCTGCCTAGGACAAGGAGCAGGTAGCACAAGGTTCCCATTATTAATTTGTTACCCAAGCCAGGGACTCCTTTCCAGTGCTCCCCTCTGATCCTGGTTTCACCTTGTTACCAAAGATCTAGCTTTCCTGCCTTCTGCTCTGATCCCTCCTACATGGAGCTAAACTTCATCCACATACCTTTACCCGTCCAATGAGAATACTTCATTTTCAAAAACTGGTCTCATTGGTCAGTGGACTCGGTAGGGAATAGGGCTTACTTCTTGTGGGTGGAACCTATTCCCAAATTGGGGAATTTGATCCTTCAGTAACAAAGTGAATCTAGGGTCAGAGGGTCATAACAATGGGGCTTTTAGCTGCTCTTTGGCAAAATTTTGTTTTTAAAAAAAACAAGCTGAACTCCAGAATAGTTTGAAATTTGGACCAAAAATTCCTCTCCCTGTGCACAGTAAAAAAAACCTTTTTTTTTTTTGGTAAAACATATTTTTGGAGAAAATTACCTTTCTATAGTCTGTGATGTCATTAGTTGGATACAGACAGCTTAGCTCTGCTTGGGCACCTGGAGAATGTATCAGAGAAACAGCAATGTCACTTCTGCTCACTAGGATTCCCGTCATTCGATGGGAATTGTAGCTGTGAATGAGAGTGAATGAGGGAAGGTTGGTGGCCGATCATATGATATACGGTAAGTATAGGCTTGCCAGACCTGAAGTCTCCACGTCTGCCAATCAAATTATGCAGTGAGGGTAGGCGGGACAGACCAGGAGTCTGTGATGCGTAGGTCCTCCCACTAGGAGCCACCAGTCTTACAACAGGGAACAAGGGAAATTGAGCCTTTATTTGGAAGCTTTCTAAATAGTATCTAGTGCATTACATTATAAAAAAAAAATGATCATATTTGGAGAAAGGTAAGAAATGTAATTTTTACACCTGCTGAAAAATGTTCAGCTTTAAGATGGCAGACAGGTTCACTTTAAGTTATATGAATTTAAAGGAGAATTCCAGCTAAAGTCTAACTAGTCTTAAAGCGGTAGTCAACCACAAAAAAAAATTCAAAAAAAATTCTTCTCCCTGCAAGCTAAGAGCATAATGTGCGAGTATGCATCGCACGCTACCGCATTATGAATGACTTACCTGAAAACGAAGCCCTCCTGCGGAGCGCTGTCATGGCCCCCTCTAGTCTTACATCTTCACCCGGTCCTCCTTCCCTTCGAGTTGAGGCCATCTGATTGGTGATGTCGTCACTCCCGCGCATGGCGAAGGGAGTTTTGCTCGCGGCACGGCCCTCTTAATGGATGGCATTCCGTCCATTGAGAGTGCTGTGCGCCGGTGACATCACTGGCGCTTCTAGAATTAATATCTTCTAAACAGTGCATGTTTCAGAGATATTTACAGTACCTACAGGTCAGCCTTATTGAAGACTGACCTGTAGGTAAAATATGCAAAAAGGAGTTTACTTACACTTTAAATTTGCCCCCCCCCTAACACCTATACCAACTAACCTTTGTACAAAAGATGTATCTACTTACCTATTTTCAGCCCGTTCTGGTTCTTTGTGCCAGCCTGTACAAGGTAGGGTATGCCTGGGAGTAAAGACATCACCCATAGGCAACACAGTGGCTAAGTGGTTAGCACTTCTGCCTGGCAGTACTAGGGTCGCTGGTTCAAATACCAACTACGGCACCACCTGCCTGGAGTTTGCATGTTCTCCCTGTGCCTGTGTGGGTTTCCTCCCACACTCCAAAGACATGCTGGTAGGTTAATTGGATCCTGTCTAAATTGCCCCTAGTATGTGTATGTATGAATGTGAGTCAGGGACCTTAGATTGTACACCCCTTGAGGGTTAGGGACTGATGTGAATGTACAATATATATGTAAATTGATAGCGCTGCATAAGCACCTGTTATAAAATAATAGGCTCCCGTGATGCAGCCATTGTCAGCAGTCTCTTCTCTCCCCTACAGCTGCTGCTGGCTGACACATGGGAGACGGATCAGATGAGTGGGCGGTAAATATGAAGTGACAATTTAATTCCTGGAATGAACTGTAAAAAAAAAAAAGTATGCCTACCTATATACTAGTAGATGTTGTCACCTTCAAAGTAGTCCCCTTGTGAAATGACGCACATTTCTAGGGGACTCTGCCACTGCTGGAAGCATTCCTGGAATTTGCTGAGCGGTGCTACGCCGCAGTCATTCCAGGAATTAAATTGCCACACCTCTTATTAACATCTTTTTTTTAATATATATATATATATATATACTGTGTGTATATATATATATATATATATATATATATATATAGGCAGAGATGTAGATAAGACCTGTTAAGCTTTATCTGGAATTCTACATTGAAGCCCCGTTCACACCAATGCGTTTTTTTGTGCTTTTTGCAGAAACACAATATTCCATTTAGCATGGTTTCCTATGGAACATGTTCACATCTATGCTTTTTTGAGCTGCTGCGTTTTTGGAAAGGGTCAGTCTAGGTTCACACCTAAGCGTTTTCCGCAGCGTTTTGCAGAAAGGCTCAGCAATCCATTTAATATGATTTCCTATGGTACACGTTCACATCTCCGCGTTTTCGCCCAGTGCGTTTTTTTTTGGAAAGAGTCAGGGACTTTTTTAAACGCAAAAATATGCTTCAATGGAGACGCTGCAGAAAAGCACATGGTGCTTTTTTGATGCATTTTTTATGTGTTTTGCATTTTAATCTGCCTAGCAACAAGAAAAAATTTAAATAATAGAAAACACAAAACACATCGCAAAAAGCACTGCAGAAACGGATCAAACGCAAAACTGCATAGATGTAAACTTGGCCTCGGGGATTTTTTTCAAAGCAAAAAAGCAGTGCTTTTGCTAATAACAGATTTCAATGGAGAATCCGCTGAAATGCATGGTAGTGCCTCTTTGAGGCGTTTTGTTTTTTGCATTTTTATTCTGCCTATCAAAAAAGAAATTCCACCAAAAAAAAAATAAAAAGCTGAACAAAACGCAAAACGCGTCTAAAACACATCAAAACAGAGTGCAAGTGTACAATCCAAACGCACACGATTTGCGTTAAAAATGGCGGTGTGTATAAGTGGATGCTGCAGTAACCGTCGGCTGGAACCGAACAGAATCCTCAAGGGAGAATGTCACCAGCACACCGAGGATCACCAATATGGATCCAAAACTTTTGGACCCATATTGGTGATCCTCGGTGTGATGGTGACATTCTCCCTTGCTAAAACACAAAATTGCGTGAATAAAAACGCAAAACGAACTGCGAAAAGCACTGCAAAATGGACAAAAAAGCAAACTGCATAGGTACTATCAAGAGGACGAAACATGCCAAGTTGATAGGATCTCCAGCATGCGATGGTCCGCTTCCCAACTTGCCGACGCTTCCATTCCTTAGCTAAGCGTTCATCAGGTCATTGAAATGTACCATTGACAATCATTCCTGAATTCTTTCCAAACGGTTTAATTTCTTTACCCTATGAATGCTGGATTTGGGGTGCGGGTTGGAGGGCGAGGGGGGTGGGGGGGGTTTCAGTTGAACATTTTTCTTTCCAACAGGTTTAATTTTTTTATTCTACAAATGCTGGACTTGGGGTGCGGGTTGGAGGGCGAGGAGGGGGCAGTCGAACATTTTTCTTTCCAAAAGGTTTCAGTTCTTTATTCTACGAATGCTGGATTTGGGGTGCGGATTGGAGGGCGAACGGGGGGGGCAGTCGAACATTATTTTTTCCAAAAGGTTTCAGTTCTTTATTCTACGAATGCTGGATTTGTGGTGCGGGTCAGAGGGCGAGTGGGGGGGGGGGGCAGTCGAACATTTTACTTTCCAAAAGGTTTCATTTCTTTATTCTAAAAATGCTGGATTTGGGGTGCGGGTCAGAGGGCGAGCGGGGGGGGGGGGGCATTCGAACATTTTTCTTTCCAAAAGGTTTCATTTTTTTATTCTACGAATGCTGGATTTGGGGTGCAGGTCAGAGGGTGAGCGGGTGGGCGGGGGCATTTGAACATTTTTCTTTCCAAAAGGTTTCATTTTTTTATTCTACGAATGCTGGATTTGGGGTGCAGGTCAGAGGGTG